TATTCGTCTGAAGATGAACGAAGAGAGAGGAAGACTGTGTTGGACTGGGCCGGGCCCAATTGTGTTCATCCGTACACACCCCTGTTCCCGCCTGCCCCTCCGTTTTTTGTTGTTGGTTGATTGGGCTGAGCCCAATGGCATTTCTGGGCTTACACCCCCGTTTCAATTACTTCACCCCCTTTCTCAGTTTTTTTTATTTGTTTTAATTGTTGGGCTGGGCCCTTTATTCTCTTTTATTTTTCTGCTTGTAACCCCCCTGAACTGCAGTGTACACCCCTTGTTTTTTTTCTTTATTTCATTTGTTTAGTTTTTTTTAGAAGAAAAAATATGTGATAGAAAAAAATAGAAAATATGAAAAGATATGAAAAAAAAGAATATGTGAAAAAAATATATGAAAAGAATGTTTGAAAAAAAGAAAAAAAGATTTGAGAAAAGAATATAGAAAAAAATATTGAAAATAATAAAAGAAAAATGGTAAAAAAAAAAAAGGGAATATAGAAATATTACTTTGTAGATTCAATATTTTCTTTAGAATAGATATTTTCTTCATGGGAGTTTATTTTACCCTTTTCGAGGTAGTTTTAAAAGTCCATTTGTTAGGGGACTATTTTCCATTTGATTTTCCATTATAGATGGATAGGATAGTATCTTCTAGGAGTTTATTTCCCGTATTCGATCATTGTAACCCATTTTCAGAATATTAATAAAACGAGATTTGAGTTGTGGTCCCGAAAGTAGCCGAACTACAGTTGCTCTGATTTCTCATACCGAACGAGAATATGTAGGCATAGGATGCGATATCCTAGCGAGCACACTAACAACTAATTTTTGTTCTCTCGCTGCTGTGCGATCGAGACTTTCCCGCTGACGACTGATGTTATCCTTTTCTCTTGCCCGAGTGTATTTGAGACCAGACCGTAGCTTTAGTTCCCATAGGTTCCCGTACCTTTAAAACCAACTTAATCTCACTTCCTGTGTGTGAGAACACCCTGCTTAGCCGTAGTTAGCCTGAACTACGAAAGCTCTGATCTTCCATGTTGTGTGGAAGTACGTAGGCACAAGACGCGGAGTCTTGGCGAGCCAATTCCCCGTAGTCTCCCGAACTACGTTGACTCTGACTTTCTCTCTTGAGAATACGTAGGCATAGAGTGCGACGCTATATCGAGTCAATTCCCTTCTGTTTAGATTTAGCAGCCGTAGATAGATTGTTTTGCATCCTTTAGACAAACCAAGCAAGCATGGATCCCGTCGAGTACGACGGACGTGAGGGGTGCTAATACCTTCCCCTTGCGTAACCGACTCCCGAACCCAGGTTTGGTTGCGATGACCATTCCTTTCCCGTCTATGCGGTAGGTTTACTTCGAGCATTCCCTTTCCCTCCTTTGGGATAAATAACGCACGGTGGCGACTCTTCTGTTCAGCCGGCGCTGATTTTCGCAGTAGCGACAACATGGGAGCATATTGTTAGGTATGCGTGCATTGTTTGGTGAATATGTGGATGAAAAGTATAAATACTTGATTATTTGACTTGTTGTGTGTGCAATCTTATTTTAATTCTTGAAGGGAGGAATTATGTGAATGCATGGGATTAAGACGTGTGATCGGTCTTAAGTGCATTTGTTGTTGATTGCATATGCATCATTTAGTCAAGAGGCAATGTCTGCTAGTTTCGTGGAGACTAGTGGCTTGTCCCAAACCTAGAAGGGTGGGTTTGAAAGCCTAGGGGACGGGCTTTGTTGTTATCGGTCTAGAAGGGTGGATCTGGTTTAAGTGTAAAAACCGAAAAATGATAACAAGTGTTGGTACCACATAGCATTGAGTTGCATTGAGTTGTGATTGAGTCACATAGCATAAATGTCATTGATATATGAAGTATGCTTGTGAATGTTGTGTTTGGATGATTGTGAAATATGCATGAAGGGATATGCTTGATGCTTGTTCATATTTATTTATATTTATGACGTGATGAATATGACTATGAAACGAATTGTGGTGAGAAATGTGGATTTTATATAATGACTTTTTGTATATATATATCATCTCATGCATTGATTATTATGGTAATATTTCTCACCCTTCTGCTGTTTTATGATGCTCTATGAGGCATTGCAGATTAGGTTGCTGGAGGTTTCTTTTGTGAAGTATAGCTTCATTCTTTTGAGTCGGACTGCTCTGATTATGTAACACCGGATAGTTAGGCTTGTATAACATTCTTTTGTGATACATTTGTGATGTATCAGTTAATAATGTTTTATAACATGAATGATTGATGAACCAACTGGATAACATGTATTTATGTGATTAAATGTTTTGAAGCAATTTAAATGTTTTAATCTTCCGCTTTAATTTTAAATATCGAGACGTGGGTGTAAGGACCAAGTTCCTCTATTTTGAAAACTATCTCACGGTTGCATATTTGTATAGAGCAGGCGTTGAATGTTTTATTGGTGATAATGTGACATACTTCTTTTATACCGTACTTTAAAGCATACTCTGATAAATTTTATATGTGCCTATATATATATTTATTGTTTATTTGGGGGTATAGAAGGGGGTGTTACATTACGCAGATGAAAAAAGGTTGCATCAAAAGTGATAGAACCAAGCATATACTTCCAAAGTTCTTCTCATTTACACAAGAACTCAGAAGAAACAAAGAGGTTGATATTCTATATATCCATTCGAGTGACAATGTGGTAGATCTCTTCACAAAGGCATCCACTACATCAATTTTCAAGAAGCATGTATAAGACACTCGTGTACTTTGCTAATTGTACAATACCCGATATAACTTTTGCAATGAACTTACTAGCATTATTCAGTTCATGTCCTATAAAGAGACATTGTAAAGGAATAAAACATATATTTCGATATCTTCGATGTACATATGATTTTGGGTTGTTTTATTTTAACAATACAAAATCAGTTTTGTTTGGTTATGTAGATGCAAAATATTTTTCAGATCCAAATAATGCTAAATCAGTTTTGTTTTGTTTACATATGGTGACACTACAATATCATGGAGATCTAAAAAACAAACACTTGTAGCAATTTCTTCAAATCATGTTGAAGTAATTGTCCTTCGTGATACAAGCAAATATTGTATATGGTTAAGATTGACATGACATGTTCAAGGAGCACCTGTTTACCAACGAATAAGAATCCAACAATAGGGATGACAATGGGGCAGGTCGGGGCAGGTTTAACTATACCTGCACCCGCATCTGCCTCCATGTAGCACACCCGCCCCCGCCCCCAAACTCAATCGGAGGTAAAAATTTACCGTCCAGACCCGCCCCCAGTGGAGAACGGGTGCACCCGCACCCGCCCTGCCCCCACCCGCAAAAAAAAATTATTATTTTTTAATTGTAATAAAAATTAATAATTTAATTAAAAAAATTAATAATTTAATTAAAAAATAATTATTTTGATAAATTATTTAATTAAAATTTTAATTAGTAAATGAATATTAACTTAATTAAAAAATTAATTATTTTAATAAATTATTTAATTAAAATTTTAATTAGTAAATGAATATTAACTTAATTAATTTAATTATTTTAATTGCAATAAGGGTATTAGTAATTTAATTAAAAATATAATTAATAAATGAATATTAAAATAAGTAAAAGAAGAGAATTAAACTAAAACGTATTATTCAGGGGCGGGTGCGGGCGGTCTTAGTGTCTCCCCGCACCCGCACCTGTAGTTAAGAACCGGGTTTCCCCCGCACCCGCACCTGTAGTTAAGAACCGGGTTTCCCCCGCACCCGCACCTAATTAAATCGAATTTTCCCCGTTAATTTTGAAGCGGGCCCGGGCTGATGCGGGCGGATTCGGATTTGTTTGTCATCTCTATCCAACAATTTTATATGAAGACAATGTTACATGTGTTTACCCATATGAAAGAAGGTTACATAAAAAACGATAGAACCAAACATATCCCTCCAAAGTTTTTCTCATTTACACAAGAACTCGAACGAAATAGAGAGGTTGATATTCAATATATTTGTTCGAGTGATAATATGACAAATTTCTTCACAAAGACACTCCTTACATTAATTTAAAGATTTTTTTCGACAAAACTTCAATAAAACACTGTGGTAGATATTTTAAATGGGAAGCATTATAAGGAATTAAAAACCATAATTCTTTTAGAATTTCCTCAAACTTCTTACTATATATAAAATATCAACTTAAAATAATAATTTAAATTATATTAATTTAAAATAATGTTTTATTTACATTGTCAACTTAAACTAGGAATATAAATTATTACATTTATGGAATAGTTGTAATAATACTTTTCAAAATACACAAATTTCTTTGAGAAAATATCTTACTCCTCTCTTTATTTACTTAATTTTATATATCCTAACATTCATATATTTTGTAGTAGTATTATATAATTAAAGTGGTAATCAATGTCATACTATTAATTGACAAATATAGTAAAAAAATATTTAGATTATTTAAATATCTGGTTTTCTCAACAAGTAAGAACCTTATAAGTTATATTTTATAATTTTACATCGAAGGACAAAGGAACCTTGAAACAAAATCTATTGCCTTGTCGTAATCTTGTTGGAGCTTATTAAAATACCATTTTAATCCTTTTTAATAGCTCTTTGAATAATTGTTATCATTGTGTTGAAATGAAATTCAAACAATTCCTTATCACATTACTTTCTCATACTCAATTTAAACAACTAAAGTAAAGAATGAGAAGCTACACCGGTCAACATCAAAATTAAGTAATTAATCCTTACTAGTGACGAGGGATTTTAAGAAAACAAAATGCAGAATTTAAAAACTAAAAAATTAATCCAACGGGGAATACATTACTAATTTACTGTATATAATGTGTACATGTATCATCACCGGAACCGAGTAGAGAATTGATAGTTAAAATGGTTGCAGTTAATACATGAAACTAGCTGGTAGTACTGGTAAGTATCAAACAGTCCAATATAAACCCAATGATGACCCTGCCTCGTAGAATCATGTTCTTTTTACACTGTCACCAACCATGGAAAGAAATCCTTCGCTGGCAAGAGTAGAAACTGCATTCCTTAGCTGTATTTAACACGAATTAGCTTATTAGTTCACTTATCCTTAGGGATGGAGTACACATAAAATACTGGCAAGATAAATTATTTGACATGGGAAGGGGCTTACATCATTAAGATGAATTTCATTGCCAGGGCTCTGATTCTTCAATTCTTCCAATATCTGCATGATCATTTTAAATCATATTAGATCATTGTTTTGTCTCAAACTGAACATAATCTATACTGAATGGTTTTATAGACCAATGGTAATACCTCCAACAAACGCATGGAACGTCCCCCAATCTGCATCTTCTCCATGATTATGTTACGAGTGTCTTGAATCAAACTTTCTCGTCTGATCCTTTCAGATGCCGAAACACCAGTAGTAATAAGATCCATGTCGATAGTTCCTGTGAAGAGAAAACAATATGTTCTTAAATCATTTGTTCAGTGGAAATCAAAAGAGTATCGGGGCTTGTTCTGATAATTACCAGTTTTTATATCCATTGCAGACTGCTGCATTGCAACTTCCAGAAGTCGAAATGCCTCCAATACATCATGCTTTTCAACCTGTGCAACATGCAACAGAATAATTGAGCATGAGATTTCATATCAAGATATCAAGAAGAAACTAAGCAAGCTTAACTAACCCATTCTGAGAAGCGAATCCTAGCCAATGCTTCACTTAGGCGTAACAAACTTTCAATCTGCCTCGGAGTTGCTGTTATTACCTATTTAATTAATAGGCAAGATCAACATATGCAGAAGAGAAACATGAACAAAAATATGAAAATCAGCATAATTCCAATATCAAGAAGTGTCTCATTTGTATCACCTTTTTGCTACTGCCAGTAAATTTTCCCCTACCCCTTATTTTTACATAGCCAGTAATCAATTCATCAGCAGCTTCATCTGACAGCTGTGGATGTATATGCTTTCGGGCATAGCTAACATAATCAGTTAGTGTAGAAATATCCAACACATCCTGCTCCATGGTCTGCAATTATGACCACATAACATCCAAGTGAGTATACAAAAGGAATCAAGTTTAGATCTTCCGAGTAAGATGATTGCAAGATTTAATCAAACCTCATGATCCTTGAAGTGGAGGGAAACAATATGTTTGGCAAGTCGTCTGTCAGTCTGTTCATCAGCCTTGTCAAGTAATAAGTAAATCAAATCAAACCTGCCAAAAAAGAGATCAACTCAATTCAAAGTAACACTTGCAAAATTGTTCAGTAGTTTTTATTTACTTTTAAAAAATTTGTGTTATTTCAACCACTACTCGTCACATTAGGTTTGATAAAAGTAATCACCAGATTCAATCTTCGCTTGCATGACAATGAATCATAAAAAATTTAGGAAATGCCAAAATGGATAATATCTACTTGCCCCCATGAATGAAAAATTGCATAAATATGTGGCCAGACCCATAGCTTAATTTTCACTGGTTATGTCCAACAACTAACCTAGATAAAAGAGTGGGAGGAAGGTGTATATTGTCAATGACAGACAAGCGAGGATTATATCGTGACCCACTAGGATTTGCACAGGCCAACACCGACGTCCTAGCATTGAGGGAAGCAATAATGCCTGCCTTTGCTATTGAAACAGTTTGTTGTTCCATCACCTGAAGTAAACAAGGACAAGTTGTCACTTAAAAGTACAAAGCTAAGATGGAATAGTTGGAAATGTCAAAATGTAAATATTTCAAACTATGCAAAATTTAGGAGAAATACTAACAAACAGACATGTCTGCAGAAACACAGACAAAAAAAACCAACCTCGTGCAACATGCTCCTTGCATTGTCGGACATTTTGTCAAATTCATCTATGCAGCAGATACCTCGGTCGCTCAAAACTAGGGCGCCACTCTCGAGAACCTGAAGATTTAGCAGAAATAATTAGGTTCCACCACATTTCTAGTACAGTAGACACTAAAAGATCATGGATTTAGTCTATACAGTTTCGCCTGTTTCAGGATCTTTGGCCACATAAGCAGTCAATCCAACAGCCGAGCTCCCCCTTCCACTGGTGTAAATGCCACGTGGAGATAGTTTGTGTATGTACTGAAGTAGCTGGGACTTGCTAGTTCCAGGATCACCGACAAGGAGAACATTTATATCACCACGAAAGCTTGCACCAGTTGCCAACTTCAAAGCATTGCCACCAAAAAGCTGAAGAAAATAAAAATAAGCATGCTGAGAATATTTGACAAACATCGAATGAAAAAGTAGCTAGAAAGATGGGTTACCTGGCAAAGAAGACCTTTCTTTACATCATCTAGCTCCCAGATGTTTGGTGCCAATGACTTTGTTAGTCTTTCATAAATATCTGGTTGTTTCGAGAGCTCCTTCAGTTGAGCTACCTGAAACTCAGACAAGTATGCAATTAGCAGGGCAATATAACAGGCAGATAATTCATTCAAGAGATATACAAACTATACCTTTTCTTCACTAAATAGAACTTCTTCTGCATTTCTGCCCTGGCCATTGTCAACCTCCATAGCATCCTCAACTAGCATCCGGGACTTTGATGTCTTCTTTATGTGAAGACAATCAATATAGGTCTACAACATGAACAAGACAAAACAAATATTTTAATTAGACAACATGAAATTGCAAAGGTGAAGCTCTAAAATGCAAATGAGTTGAGGGTAACACATACCTTGAACAATGACTTAACAGTTCTTTGAGTTGGACCAACCCTGACACTCATGGCCCTGTATATACCAGTTACCTAATGTACAAACAAGAAAACAAGTGATGTGATGAATGCAAAAGTATATAAACATCTCTTTATAACCAAGTATGTTACTGTATAGTCTCACCTCAACTCGGTCACCTGGCTTTCCAGTATCCACCAGCTTGTCATGCATCAGCAAGCTAACAGTGTGAGGTGTTCCTCCTTCAGGTATCTCATCAGGTGTCTCCTGGAGCCGCACAATTTGTTTATCGGTAAACCTGATTTCAGAGCAAATATGTTATTTGAAGTTTCAAGGATTTTGGATCTTAAATTCAACTGGTTAATTTCTAGACGGTAGTCATGTGATCAAGAAAACTTGTCAAAATAGGAACTAATAACCATGGCCATCAGCCAATTAACCAGTGTCACTAAAATCTACCCACTACAGTTAAAAATTATCTTTCAAACTGTTGTAGTTATCTTAACCAGTAGTAGTGACCAATGAAGCAGAGTTCCTCACTCTCTAAATCAAATTGATCTTAATAAAAAATTAAATGATTTTAGGCAGACATTAAGTTACAGCACTGGACTTAACAAAAGGCCAATTTTACACTGAACTGACAGCAGGTTAATTGTGTAGTTGTTACAAAGAAAATATTTGTAGTAAATCAGTTCAGAAGATTAACTTTAATATCCAGCTTTTTGACTATTTACAGGAAAATTTTCAGTTCTGCCACTGAGTGCAGACAAGAAAAAATAGAAGGAACGAGGAACTAATTAACATATAGGTACGAGGAAAAAAGTTTAAAGAAGCTTGCTTCAAAATAAAGACCCTTCATTACAAATATCATGCAAATTGCAACACTATTCAACAGCCAAATTTAAATAGAATTATAAATCATCAAGTCAAAATTCACTTCTTTATATAAATAAGTTTTGACTTACTTGCATCGGTTGTGAACAAGTGTCATTGAGTTTCTGGACTGACACTCTTCCCTCAGACATACTGTAGGTTCAGCTATTCGTCCTGAAAATCAAAATAGCCAGGAAAACATGACATATGAAAGCATGACAACTCACATCATGAATAGCCAGAAATAACTCGTATAATTACCCCTCTCCACAAGGACCGGGTCAGAGCAGTATCCACACACCAGACACCTAAATATAGCTTCCCTAATTTCAGGTATAATTGAGCTGCTCCGAATAATCATACCCTTCATTGAGATCATCCTCTCAACATCTGCAAAAGATAGAGACATCCACATGAAATCAGTATACATCAATCTAACTGCTACCAATCACATGCAAACAGCGAAAAACATAAAGTAAAGATAATAAGAACTCACCAGAAGGGTTCAAATTTCTCATAGAAGTTGAGGTTTTGAGATTAAAAATCCGAGTCTGAACATGCTTCTCAAACATTGGTTTCATTCTGGTCACCATGTTCATCAAAACCATGTCAAAAATGGCCAACACCTCAAGAGGGTATCTAACCATCTTGGTATACAAATCAGGATCATGATCAAACACGTCACGAGCATCAACATCAATAGATTCACCTTCTAGTTCAATAACCTGTTTAATCAATTTCTCATACTTTCCTTCAGTATCTAGATCATCAATATCCCCCTGCGAAGTAGACTGTTCCCTGAAGTGCTTCAAAAACCTCTGAATCGCATCGTTCACATCTTCCACACTTATGTTAGTACCCCAGACGTAGGTAGGACCAGCATCGTCCATGTCATAGCCGTCTCCACCTTCGGAAGACATGGGTACGTCGTCGGAAGTGGAAGTCGGAGTAGCGGGAACGCGACGGCCAGATGGGATACCGCCGCCTCTGCGGTGACGTGAGGGCGTTGGGGTAGCATCAGAGGAAGCCAAACGAGATCGGTTCGGCTGAGGTGTTCCGTATGCAGACGGAGTAGTAGATTGACGGCGGCGTCTCCTGCCGGGAGTGGATAGTGTGTTGGGGATTGGACTTGAGGGGGGAATGTCCGGCGACGAAGGATCTAAAAAGCGAAAATTAGGGTTATAAGATATTCAAAAATTAGAAATTAGAAATGAGAATAAGGATAAGGAAGAAGAGTGAAGTGAAAAACAAACCGAAATCCATGGGAGAAGAATTGGAAGCCATAGCTCTGAGAGTTTCGAGATTAAACGCGCCAACAGAAAATCGCAAGCAGGTATGTAGAGGGAAGAACGGAACGAGTGTATTGAATAGCTGCAACTGCAAGATATGGCGCGGAAAGAGTACTTGTTTTCCCGCCAGAAGTTTGTGGGCTTTCTGGGCTTCGATATGGGCTTTAAGTTTTAAATATGTACGGGAAGGAACTACTTTTTTTCCTTCTATACCGTTATATCTAATCGTCTCACCCTTCAAAAACTATAATGAGGCTAAATGCCTCTTAAAATATTTTTTTCTTTTTTATTTTTAGGAACTTTTCTCTCTTATTCTCAAATACTACTATTTGTTTTTTTCCACCTTCCTCTCTGACACAATTTTCATGCCAGAGTAGTATGAAAAGCGTCCACCATTACGTGTGTGTATAAGCTGGCTTCTTTTGATAGGTTTTTAATCGGTTTAGAATAGTTTCTTTAAGATTTGTCGTGAGACACTGAATGTGAAATCTTTTAGAGTCTACGTCGATCTTATACTATTAAGTTAATCGTGGATGAGATTGATGTGTCTGATCGATGAGGAGATTGATGTGCTCGGTTGATGGGAAGATGGGAATAGAAACGTTATTTGAAACGTGTGGCCATATGCTAGCAGATTAGGGTATGTTATCTTCCAATATGGTGCTTAAATGCATTTAAGTGTCTTGGTATTTCCAAGGTGTGATGTTATTATTATTTTTTGTCTTTCCATGTTCTTCTCGTATAGATTGTTGCTTGCTTGATTCACTCTTTCTTATATAAGGGTTACTTGGCCTTTTTAATGGGCTTTCACTCTCGTTACTAATTGACTTATATTTTTTTAATGTGATACCATTTTCCCTTTCAAAATCTCTTGTTATGGTGCCCCCTTGTTCTGTTTGAGTTTAGCGTTCTTTGAGTTGTTATCAGTCTTCCACTTCCTTTGCTTGCATTCGCTTCTTTGACCTAACTTTGTCTCGGATACCGTTTCCAAACTCTGGTTCGTATTTCACAATTTTCATATATTTATCTTTACCATTAGGGATGGCAACAGGGCGGGGCGGGGTAGGTTTAACTATACCCGCACCCGCACCCGCCTCCATGTAACACAGCCGTCCCCGCCCCCAAACCCAACCGAGGATAAAAATTTACCACCCAGACCTGCCCCCAGTAGAGAACGGGTGCACCCGCACCGCCCACCCGCAAAATTTGTTTTCTTTTAATTGCAATAAAAATTAATAATTTAATTTAAAAATTAATTATATAATTAAAAGTTTAATTAATAAATAAATATTAATTTGATTATTTTAATTGCAATAAGGACATTAATAATTTAATTAACAATATAATTAATAAATGAATAATAAAATAAGTAAAATAAGGGAATTAAAGTAAAATGCATTATTCGGGGGTGGGGCGGGGGTGGGCGGGTCTTAGTGTCTTCCCGCACCCGCACCTCCACCCGTAGTTAAGAACTGGGTTTCACCCGCACCCGCACCCGCGCCCAATTAAATCGGGTTTTTCCCGTTAATTTTGGGGTGGGCCCGGGCGGGTCTGGGTTTGTTTGTCATCCCTATTTACCATGGAAAAAATGATCAACTTGTTAATCTAGGAAGTTATTCTGTCGATGGTGGTCTTTCGTCATATATGAGGGTATAAATTTCAAATGATCCAAATTATACTTTTGGGGCATATTCGCCCTTATTCAGGTCCAGTGGTTATCTATGACAACTCTGAGTCTAATGGCTCTTCTAGTAACTCTATTTTTTGGGAGGATTTTTCTGATGAGTCTTCAAGATTTTTCTCCAAGGAGAGCGTAAGGAAATCTCTGGCGATGTTCAATTTGACAATGTTGTTTATGCTTTTCAGTGGGCCACCGACGACCCTTTTCCCTTTGTCATCCCTTTACCTTTTACGAAGATTGTCGCCTAGTATAAGCGGGTTATTCATCATTTTCTTAATTCATATATGAGTTCATAGGGTTGAGACCCTAATGAGGCTGAAATCAAGCATCAATTCGAACTTCTAAATTGGATGAGTGTGATCGGTTGGAACTTTCCGCCAACCGAAGATCAAGCGGATCGTTCATATTAAGAGCTGACTAAAGCAAATTGTAACCATTATAAGGACGAAAATTTATTAAGGATCGTATATGTTTTCTATAATGCGACCAAAGTTGGGAATGCTGTCATAGAAGCAGGTTTGACCTTCAACTGTATAGTCATCCCAGTAGGCTTCAATAAGAAGAATTGTAGTCATTTTAAGGAGTGTCCAATTTCCTTTTATGCTTGTTTGTTGACTCAACCAAATTTCGCAATACCTTTTAACAAATTTGAAGTAGGAATGTTGAGATACTTTAAGAGTTCACCCTCCCAATTACACCCCAGTGTTTGGGAATTCATGAAGGTGTTAATGTTTTGGTGCAAATTGAAGGAAAATGGTGATATGAACTCAGAGGAAAAAATATTCCCTTAAGTTGATCCTTGTGAATGATCATGGTCACTAATGGAAATGATTACCTCTTGTCTCAAATAAAACTCTTGATATAGAATCAGATGAACGACCACAAGCGTTGAACAAAGAACAACGCCTCTACTCAAGCCACACGAATTGAGTGATTTCAATCTCAGTGTTATTTGTTATGAATGAAGAGAGAGAAAGAGAGAGAGAGAGAGAGAGAGAGAGAGAGAGAGAGAGAGAGAGAGAGAGAGAGAGAGAGAGAGAGAGAGAGAGAGAGAGAGAGAGAGGAATAAGAATAAGAAGAACACAACTAGGTTTTAAAAATGAATTTCATCAAGCGAGGAAGCTTTTGCACAAAGATATATTTATAGAACCACTTGTGTAGATTGCAAGCCAAAAAATTCCACTTAAGTGCATTGTAGCTTATGGTGTAGTGTATTTCACTTAAGCGTACATTACCTTACCATATTTCGTATTCCACTCGAGTGAATTGTATCTCATAGTGTTCTATAATTCACTTAAGTGCATTTTATCTTAAGGTGTTCCATAATTCTCTCAAGTACATTATACTTTACAGTGTCCCTTATTTCACTTATTTATTTTATCTCTCATCAATATATCCTTATGTGTTGCCTCTGTAGGTTTTCGTGACGCTAATTATTATATTAAATCAAATATTTAATATAATAAATAACAAGTGGTATCTAACAACACATTAATGTTACCCAAGTCACAAAAATGTCATAAGATATGACAAAACCTTTTCGTCATAATGTCTGTGTGTGTAATTACTCTTTTGCCCTCATGTTTATATTGAACATAAGGCATAATTGTGTCACCCTTGTCCAATTTAATATCTGGCTCTTTGACATTTATCGTGTTATACATGATGTACAAATCCCATCTAGGTCACTCATGTCCCTCAACATGATTTGTGGAGTACCCTTCAATTGTCTTTATTGTCGTCTATTTATGGAAAACATTGTATCAATAATAAAATACCCAACTCCACATTTAGGGTCCATAGTGGTTTCAGGTCGAATGGTGGTATACACCACAATCACCTTGAGAATAACTTATGACACTTTGCATAGCATTTTATGTAGTATTCTCATAGTGAGTCAATATGATATAAATATTACCCCTAGTATTCATACTTAAGGGAAGACTTCATAACTATTTATCCATGACCCATGAGATGTGATCGTCATTCTATCTATATAATATTCTTAATGCTTTAATATTATCTCATTTCACAATAAAGCTCTACTACAGATACTTAAAGGACAGTGTCCTTATGTTTAATGGGATCACACGAGTAAGTCACACTTAGTATTTCATTAAATATAATAGCTAGTATATAAACTATTATTTTGGAAAAAACAAACATAATAAAGAAATGCCTTTTAATTATTAATAAATAATTTGATACAGGTATCAAGTTCTAATAAAACTATTAGTCTCTTAGGCATACATTAAAAAGAATATTGTGGTTATAAGTCGTACCTAAACCTTTTCTTTCCCTTTTCCGCAATGTAGTGTACCTTCGGGACAAGCTTTGGGACCAAGGGTTGATTTTGTTATGGCAAGAGGTAGAATATTTTTAGTGACTATTTTGAGAATTGGGAGGACTTCAAAGGTTGACTCTTCTTGGTGCACCCTTAGACTCTGAAGTCTCACCCTATATTCTGCAAGATCTTTGGGGACGAATATATAGAACCTAATTTTTCTTAAGTGGGAATAATGAATTATGGGGACCGAATTCATAAAAGTTAGGTCAGGTGGCACTTCAACGAGGATTCCTCTAGATTCTCTAACCCCATAGAAGATATTAATGAATGAAAACCCGGTGGCCTTTTGGGAGAGCCTAGGTTATGAGGAAGGAGTTTTCCTTTAAATGTGGACCCTTTGATGCAAAATAATTGGTCTATTGGCACCCATGATGGGGTAGTTATTTTTAAGAGGAGAGATATTTTTAGTGAGGATAAAGTCTTTATTGTTTTGTATTTGTTTATTGTGTTTTTTAATTAATAGATATTGTTTTTTTATTTTATATTTTCCTTTTGCATATACAGTGGCTTCAAGTGGCATGATCATAGTGAAAGGTCTTTTTGATAGATAGAAAGCTCGACAGAAATTATGGGTGGCTATTTCTTTTTCATCTGTTATTACCTCTACTATCACAGGGGTATTGTTGGAGAAACTTTCGGTGGTACATCAGGACCTCACTTGCAACTCAATCTTTTTTGGGTCCTTCTGGCAAGGACCAAACTTTTTCCACTGAGCTAGATAAAGGACAAAATGACCAGGTTTTAATTTTTGCCAACAATGTCAAAATATCAGGATTCAACTACTTCCCTGAAGGACAGTTTAGATAAAATGCTCAAGCTATCTGATTTTTTTCCCACTAGACCTGTTGCTTTTGACGCTGGAGCTCTGCATACTTTCTTCAAACTTCTTGACATTCTCTAATCTCGGGCGCCTTGCATTTTGCACGAGGTACGATCTTGCTTGCTCGAGCAGAACATTGATTACTTC